ATTTTAAGCTACATTTGGTTTGTCACATTACAGATAGGTAGTTTAAGGACTGTTAGAAAGTGAAAAATCTCACATTTTCCCCTACAAATAGTGTGATTAAAAAAAAAAAAGACAGCATGCCTGTCAAACCCACTGGCACGTGTTGGGGTTCACTGGGTTAATCAGTTCTTATTAGTAGAGATGGCTGTTCAGTTCTGGACATTGACTAGATTTATTAGATCAGAGCCTAAAAACAGAAAGAAAAAAAAAAACATCTCTTGGATTTTTAGGAGTGAAACTGTGGTGAGGACTTACCTCCTCAGTGACGATGATCAGCGGGTATCTGTCCTCAGACAGGAAGTTAAAGATGCACCAGATCTTAAAGGCGTCGTCATCGGAGATGAGCAGCTGGCTTCGTTCCAGGTTCTTCCTGGAGCTGAGTGTCCAGCACATTTTGTTGAAGTCCTGACGGTCAAAGTTATCTGTCACCTGTGGCAGAGCAGAGAACAGCAGCTGCAGTGAGTCATGGGTTCCCATCTGACACCAAGGAAGAACGGCTTGTTTTTCCAGGAAGAAGAACAGTTTGTAGGGAGACAAGCAACAACACAGATAAAACTGCCTGAGTTGGCAAAGGCATATCCTGTCGACACAAAAAATATATATTACTCATGGGGTGCATTCCAATACCCATGCTGTCATGTTATATAGTATGTCAGAAAAGGTTTTAGTATGTCTCAATACATAGTGCGTCAAATGCAGATTGCAAAAAACACCAGGATGTTCAACTACACCCAGTCGTATTTTGCAGTATGCAAGCCAACATGCTTTACTGGCCATTCTGAGCCACAATCCTCTGAACAGTAAAATCCCAACATCACCATGACTCGTGCCAGCAGCCGAGTACGTACAGAAAATAAGGAGACAAAGTTTGTGATTTGCAACACAACCATTATTTTAGTCTAACCAATTCTCTTGGTCATTGTTTACAACCTTTTTGACCTGTGATTCTTTAACATGAACGACAAAAGTTTCATAAGCTGCCACTTAAAACCAAAGAGTAATTTCCCCATTTGATTTTTACACTTTCGTGTTTTTAAAAGGTTGAAGAGTTCAAACTATTTATTACATTCTTGTAATTACACAAAGGTCAGAAAACAAAGTTTCCTGTCTTGATGATCACTTCACAGCCTGCCTCGTTTAACAATACACAGTATAACTTCCATTAATATATATTCAAAGTGCATTTCCCCTGGGAACTTCCTAGAGATGTTAGATATCTTGTCAGGGTTGTCAAAAGAAACGTTAGAGGAAACAGAAACTGGCCTGTTAAAAAAACGTCTCTAGGGTTCAAATTCCAGAGCAAAATGGGAGGAAAGCTCTTGAAAAGGTACAATCAGTGCTGCGGAGGGAAATGTTTTCCTGGAGTCGGTGAACAGTAGCGTCTCCATGGAGACTGCTGGCAGGCTGACTGTGCAGTCGTGTGGATTAGAAGCACATCTTGTCCTGCTGGCAGTCGTCCCCTCAAACAAGTCACCAGCAACCCCCCCAAAACAAAACAACTCCCAGCCCTCGCTGTAATTACAAACCGATCAGAACATGAAGTGAACCGTGTAACTGAACCCATCAGGAATCATATTTACTGTCTAAGTTTGTCTGTTTGAAACCACTATTTGCATAGATCATGTGAGAGATGTAGTGTGGTCTTTAAAACAGCAGTTTGAGCAGGCGCTGATGCCGAACCTGAATTCACAACATGAGACGTTGTCATTTAACACATGCATGGGCAGAAAAATAATAACAGTCAAAACAGTCTCATAAGTCAAGTGTCTAAGTAGGGATAACTAGAGTGGGTATTTAAGCATAACACTAGCATAGATATCGAATTCAGCTAAACATGTCTAATGATTGTAATTAAAGCATGTTTTTATGATGACACATCACTGGATAGATGTTGCTGCACAGTCTGGGCTAAAATATGTCATATAAAGGCATGAATCGCAAAAAAGCATCTTTAAAATTTGATTTTAGGTTTGTTGTGATATGAAACTAATTGTGTGATATGGCTAAACTGTTGGATGAACCTTGAGTTGGTTAGTTTTATTAGACTTCTCCTGAGAAGTCAAGAATAAGTCTGACTTAAGCAGCAGGTGATATTATAACAGCTACTAAATTTACATGTAAACAGATGAATCTGGATTACAACTAAGCAAATCCCTGCTTAAGAGGATTGAAAGCTGTGGGAAAAGCTTGAAAGTGGATCTTGAGTTGAGATTGTTTTGTCAAATGGAATTTCAGAAGAGTATAGGTTGAAAGGTTTTCTTGCTTCGAACACTCTGATTGTCTGTTTGTTAGAAAGTTTACCAAGCCTTCCATTAAAGCCACTGTCCTAAGGTCTAAAGTTCTGCACTGTGACCTGTCAATATAAATACATTGTCAAGCTTTTTTTCACAGGAAATTAACAGAGGACGGAGAATGTGAATTATTTTCACATCAAAATAAACTTGTACTCCAGTGCTGCTTCAGCTGTGCTCTGAGAGAGTGAAAGAGCAACATTCAGCCCAAGTGAATGACTGTGCTGAAGTAGTCTGAACTTTTCTAAGGCCACACAGGATCTGATGTAACTGGCTATTGTGCTAATTTAGGTTGAGTGCTTGTGTGGAAACCTGTGCTGGATGTTAAAATGACACTCCACCCAACATCTGAGAGACACTCATCCTGCCAGCTTGGAGAGTGGCAGTCAAAATGTCATTTTTATTTACTTTTTAATCAAAATTATTCGTTGTGGTCAGTTTGAATGTGCGTCTGTTACAGTGGTTTCTAGTACAACAAACACTTCTCCTGCTATATAATGCACTTCGCTGCTGTCGTTCCATATGATCAGCATGTTCCAAATTATAATGATCACACTGAGTCAAACTGGCATCACAAATCATTGTAAGCGAGCATGTGATTGGTTTTCTGGAGGGTGAATGCGACCAGATGTGGTAGCCCAAAGTAGAATACAGGTGTATAACCCTACCGCTTTTTGTGAAAATCTTTTTATAGCCAACTCTAAAGTCTCCTGTTGCTCTTTGGTGCTCAAGAGAAAATTCTGGTGGAGTATCGTTTCAAAAAAAATATTTTGGCAGCTGTGAAAAGGCTCCTCACAGCACAGTTATTTTGTTATCACATCAAACCTTTTGACGCTACAGCTGACTCAAATAAAACAGCATCTCCTCCTGTTGTTACTCAGTAGTGTGAAACTCGTGAGGATGAGGAGGGTTGTGTTTAGGTGGCTCGATTTGTCTGTATCACCCTTGTGGTTTTGAATGAGTCAGCACAGTCTGACAGACGAGGGAACAGAGGTGAAGTTGTGAAAGAAGGATTTGTGATGAAAGAGCAATTCTTTATCCAACATCTTTGTGTCACACTCATCTTATTTTTCTTTGTCCTCGTGGCTCGCTGGTTCTCCCTGTCTTTTTCGACTCCTCCTCTCCTCCCAGCTCACTCTCAGTATCTACACTTCAACAGTGAGATCCTTGTCAGTGTCCCCCCTTCTTTTTTTTTTTCCTCCACTGCCACATGTTCATTAGGATGCAGGATCCAAACCTCAGCCTTATCTCCTGCAGCAGCTTTTACAGCTCACACAGACACACCATACAAGTGCAACAAGTGGAGTCAGACTGGAATAAACATTAAGACAGTAGAAAAGCTTGTTACCAGTTTAACTGGATTGTCAGCTCTTTAATCAAATGGTTTGCTAGAAATATTTACCACCAGTCACAGAGACAGCTGGGTGTTCAGCAGATTAAGACGTGATGTGAAATGGAAAACATACAAAAAGGGGAAATGAACAGAGTTTTTAAATGGTTCAGAGCACAAAACTACCATTTGTCATCTGCAGGTGTTTTTGGGTGGAGTGCTGAAAATCTGCACTCTACTAAAAGAGATGTCTGGCTTCAACGATGTTATTTCTAAAATCCACAGCCTAAATGAATTCTGTGTTGGAAGGCTAGTGAGGACCTCATCAGCAAGGTGTGATACAACTAATATGAATGTTTCTTCCAGTTAGGACTCTTCAGGTTTCTGTCAGGACAATCTGCAGTTTGTGTAAATGTACATGTTAGAAGTTCACCAAAGTTGGCCTCAATGGGAAAGCACCCTGCCTCTGAAAGCAAAACCACAGACTGCAGTAATTCCAGTGAAATAACATGTTTTTGGTCCAAGGTTTTGTTGGTGTAAATATATGTGTGAGCCTGACAATGAAAAAGAGTCAACATGATAAGGAATGCCAAAATCATCCAAGCACACAAACAATGAATGAAAACAATGGATGAGCTCAATTTGATGATTAAAGAATAGGTCTACACTTGTTTATGTCTATCTTAACACAGTAAATGCACGGCCATATGTGCACTGGTTTTGGTTTGTCCCCCCTATCTGGGCTGGCTGTAAAGCTCACGTCCTAATACAATTCCAATGAAAGAAGAAGAGCCTGACCAGTGTATTGTTTGATATAAGCTCATTACAGATACAGCATCCACCTATATGGCAGCCAAATCATGGGGGGGAAAAAACCCTGAAGTACAGAGATGCCAAACATAAGTTTAAATAGTAAAGTTGTTCATCAGAGGTAGGGACAGATTTAAAATGTCCTGCCCGGTAGAGGCCTTGCACAGAGTGGTTAAAAAACAAATTTAGGTGCACCTTTGCAAAAATGTTTTAGTGTTTTTGGGGTTGCACACAGAAAATTCAGCCAAATTCATCAAATCTTTTCAAATGCAATTATCAGCATCAGTTAGAATCTACAATCCTTTTTCTGTGCACAAATAAATGTTACAGTTCTGCTGAAAACACTAGTTATGAGACTTCAGATCAAGTCGAACTCTGGCCTGGTTACAGAGTTTTTAGAACAAAATTCCCTCATGTTTTAGTAGTTGTGTATCCATATGACTGTCTTGCACATTTAAAACAATCTTTTGAAATGTTGCAAAAAAAAATACAAAAGACAATGCAACTCAGTCTTGCTTCCATTACCTGCCATGGAGCTAATACACTGGACTGTGTTGTGTCATCAGAAGGTGACGAATAAAAAGTGTAGAACAAGTCAGAGACAACACCAGTTGATTGCAAACTGCTAAAAAAAAATGCAAAGAAAGAAACAAAACTTTGACCATCTACCAGTTCAAATGATTCTGTCATGTCACCAGTCCTGTCATGTTTCATGTTGTCCCAAGCAAAAGATGCAGCTGATCAATCATGTGATGTGAATGTATGCTATGTAATAATTTGTTTTTAAAAACTTCTCTTTAAAAAAAAAAATAATAATCTAAACACACCTTAAGCTAGCATAAGAGTATTTTGCAAAGGTTGGGAATTTTTTTCAAATTCTGCATTTTCCATTAACTTTCTCCAACATGATTCTGCTGGTATCTGGCTGGTGTCAGTCTACAGAAGGCCAGCATGGTAAACACTGTCCTAACATATCTGCCTACTTTTACTCAGACTAC